CTTTCTCAATTAGGGTTATACTGTTGTAAACGTAATGGGCCTTAAGAAAGCCCATTAAAGGATGGCAAAGCCTTGCAACGAGTAACTTCTACGTTTTGTCTTTGGTTTTTTCTCTCGAACCTTTACTTTTGACCGTTGGATTTGATTACTTCGAGAATCAATGGCTCCAAAGTAATGAAAGTATGAAGAAGAAAGAAGAATGGGAGTGTTGAGTGAGAATTTTATTACAAGAACTCAAATCCAAATTTCCAACAATTTTTTTCTAATTAAAGAATATAAAAACATCAGATTCCAAATTACAGAGGAGGAGAGAGATCTCACACAGAATCTGATACTGAAGAAGAGAAGCAAAGCATATTACTACAGGTTCTTGTCTAATCTCTTTTTCCTGTTATCGTTTTACTTTAGGTTTTTTTTTCTTTCTTGTGTCAAGTAAAGAATTTGTCTCTTGCTTTGATTGCTATAAAGTTTTGAGTTTTTTTTTTTCCTCCCTCTCGTTTTCCTTTTGTTAATGCTTCTAAAACAAAAAAATCAAGATCCTTTGATTTCAAATCCGTGATGTCAAATCATGGATTTCTCGCCTCTGCTTTTTCTTTTATTGGTTTCTTGTTAAAAACTTAAAATCAAACAAACATTAAAACCCAATCAAAAATAAAAAAATTCAGAAATTTGGGAGTATAAACTAAGAATTCAGACAAGTAACAGAGATATTTCTTGTTGTTGTTGATGATGGTGAAGAATGTGTTTAGCAGAATTGATTTGTCGAGTTTCGTTACAGGTTCAACAGAACATACGTGGGAACCAACAATGTCGGCAGAGACAAACATACCAAGTTACTGGCTTAACTGGAGATTCTTCTTATGCGCAATCTTTGTCTTAACGTCTCTGTTTCTGTCTTCTTTCTTGATTTGGAAATACGAAGGACCAAGAAAACGCAAGAAACGTGGTGATGATCAGAGAGAAGAACACATAGGAGCTGTGTTATACGATGATGAGACTTGGAACACTTGTGTTAAAGGGATTCATCCGAATTGGCTTCTCGGTTTTCGAGTTTTCGGTTTTGTTGTTCTTCTTGGACTCATCTCTGGTAATGCTATTGCTGATGGAGCCGGCATTTTCATCTTCTACACACAGTGAGTTTCCGTTTTCATCCGTAATCGCTTCTCGGTTTTTCCGCGTTTTGTTGTTCTGATGGAGTGTTGTTGATTGTTGTTATCAGATGGACTTTCACATTGGTCACAATCTACTTTGGGGTATGGCTTTTCTTCACCTTGTCATGGTACTGCACATGCTTTATAAACTCTTTATGTCTCTAGATCCTTAGCATCTACCAGAGATTAGTATACCAGTAATGTTGATTATTAGATGAGTTTCTATGTGGAATCTAATGAGTAACATTTCGTGTGAAATCGGTTTTTTCAAAACCTAAATTGGACTTTGATATAATGCAGCTTGCAGCATTGGTGTCCATATACAGATTTAGATCTGGTGATGACGGTCAAAACGAAGTCAGTTCAGTAGATGAAGAGCAAGGGTCTTATAGACCTCCCGTTAATGGCGAAAACCCGAATGACTTTAAATCTTCAAACGGACACGAGAGAAACAACATGTCTACTCGTCAGATGGCAACTACATTGGGTTACATCCACCAGATTCTTTTTCAAGTAAGTCTTCCTGGTTATGTTAACTTCTCTGCATAAGTTATTCTGTTTCTGAACATGTTGTTTTTTTTAATTGCAGACTTGTGCAGGGGCTGTATTGCTTACAGATGGAGTGTTTTGGTTCATTATCTACCCTTTTCTCACATCCAAAGATTTCAGTCTTGACTTTGTAAGTGTTTTAAAACCACGAAACTATCATAGTTTATAAGTTTTCTAACTGGAGTAAAACAATTGGTTTGTCTCTGATATTCTTGAGGCTTAAGCTTGACAAAAGCATTTATACTGCAGTTCATTGTGATTATGCATTCGGTAAACGCTGTTTTCCTCCTCGGCGAAACTTTCCTGAATTCTTTGGTTAGTTTGTATCTTTTAGTTAACATCAAAAAACT